AAAGAAAAAAAAGTGCAAAAAGGTAGCATGAATTTTCTTCACACATACTGCGCACATAAACGTCGGTTTGTGTGTAATGAACTATAGGAGTTTAGAGCCAATATTCCCACCTTTCCTCTTAAAACAGGAGTGGGCAGCGCTGCTGTCCATGGTGCTGAACCTCCCCTGTCACCGTGGTCCAATTTATGGCCTCCAACTCATAGTAGCCAACTGACTTTAAACAAAGAGAATTGGACCAGCGGTTTTGTGTTTTATGTTTATGGGTTTTTTTTATTATTATTTAATTATCACGGAGGGCTTCTCACATGGTCGACTCATGTCTTCCTTTTATTGCAACATCTGACTCGATCACTCTCAGGAACCAATAACCAGCCCTCCTCATTAGCATGGAAATGAAACGGCTAAATGTTCAAGCAATGCGCTGTGGAAGGTCAGAAAGATAAACAGAAAGTGTTGATGCTGCCGGGAGGCTATGCAGCACAGTGAAAAACATGCCAGTCACTGCAGGAGCAACTTAAAAAGCGAGCAGTGGAAAAGAGGAGCGCTGTCGCTGAGACTGTGGACATCCTTCTGTCCCTGAACAGCCACAGCATTGCTGCCTCCTTGTCCAACTTTGCAAGGGCGTCCGTTAAAAGAATATTTATTGAAACCTGTCGGAATTAGAGTATAGCGCAACTGTCAGTGAGAGACGTCCTTGCCTTTCTTGTTTGTGAAAAAAGCTCAGACAGCAGCAACTTCCTCAGGCCTTGTTAAGGGAGCTCAGTCAGACATGTGGCGTCCATTTTGTTTTATTTATGTCTGACAGACGATGAAAGGAACAGGGAGGAATCAAAAGTAACACAAAAACTATATCTAACCCATGCACTTTTTTTTTGTTCAGAAATGATTAAATGTTTCTCTCCCAAAAAAGAGAAATACATTTCTATGCTCTCAATACAAATCTCAGGAAATTAGAATTTTTATTATTTTTTTTATTGAATCGATGAAATAAAGTACAAAGCTCAAACTTTAGATAGACTAGTATAAGTAGAATGCTGAATTTCAAACATTTCTCGATGTTAATTGCGACAGTTGTGGCTTACAGTACATGCAATACTAAAATTCAGTTTCTCAGATGAATAGAAAATAACAGTAACAGCAGAATACAGAAAATGTGACGCCAGTAAATCCACAGTAGAGCATGTTATACATTCAATACTTGATCAAAGTGTGAGAAGAAGCTCCAGATTGATGAATGAATCCAATGTTGCAGGTTTGTGATGCAATACCTGTACACCTGTAACTCTCCTTCAATCCTCTTTAATCTTGTTTTGATAAACCCATTTTAACTTCGAGTGTCACTCATTTGTGATCAAAGTAGACTTGGATTCACTAGAAGTTTAAGAGAACATGTGCTGAATGCAAATATGATCTATTAAATGTTCACTTGACCAAATAAACTCTAAACCCAAAATATTGAGCATACATATTTTAGCATTTATTCAGCTATGCATATGCTTTTTTTTTTCTTTTTAACAAAACAAGTATAGAAAATTAATGCTTTGCTGTTTTAGCTTTTGTTTAGATGATTTTCATACTTTTTTGTGTTTTTAATCTGATGATTAGTCTAGTTAAAGCTTTTCTCTTGCTTTAGCCTTGCTTCAGCAAATTTCCTTGGGTTGTATTCCAGAAATGTTTACAAGAAATACAAGAGTAATTCTTTACAAAATGAGTTAGGCTGGAAAGATTATTTCTATCGTTTTTCACCTCTTATGATCACACAGAATATTGAAAATGTATCATCTTCTGTGTGCTTAATGTCAATATAGCAAAGAACTGTCACAGTATAATATGTTTGTGCTCAGTGTAGCAATGAAAATGTTCATTATAGTTTTGCGTAAATAGCGCCGTCATGGGTTTTGCTGACAGATGTTTCACTTTCTAAACAGCCACCGCAGAAATATTCACTCCTTTGTATTTTTTTGTGCTTATGGTGAAGTTTCTCTTTTCTATATTTTGGGGGAGATATATTACACAAGCAAGACCCAGACGACAAACTATTGATTTTACCTAACCCCTACAGCCCCGGCTTACTTGGAAGAAGAAACTTTTGCAAAGTTATTGTCTGACAAAAATGAATAAATGCTTTTGATTTAGGGAGACAAGCTTGAACAGAAAGTCACAGAACCTGCAGCAAACAGGATCTTGAATGCAGAAGATGTGAGCCCACTAAATGCTAAATTAACAATGTGGATCTCACAAAAGACAGGAGGAGGTGGAGTAGGCAAATTTGACTACAATAGAAAATGTTTTAATCATTAATCAAAATTTGAGGTTATTTATATAGCCTCAGATTTTACTCTGAACGTACAACTTACCAGACAATATAAAGGCTGCTCTACCAAGTAGTTTAGGTAATTCTCCTACGCTGGTAACCATGCGCTATATTTGCATACAATCATGTATTGAACTAAAAAAAAAAAAAAAAAGGAGATTAAGTCATTTCATGGAAGCAACAGTGGAAGCATAGTTTGGACAAAAAAAAAATAATAATAAGAATCTCATGACTACTATCGGTTTTTAAGATTTACAATCTGCAGCAGTTTAATTTTAAAAAATCCTTCTCTAATTCAGAGAAGGATTTTTTTCCACAGAATGTGATCCCGTTCTACCGCGAATAGATTGGTGAAAGCCTCACTTTGGTATTGCCATACGTTTATCATAACAGGCAACACTGTGGTTAAATGACAATGAAGATCTCAGGTAAAATCTGTGTGGAGTCCCTTCGCAACTATTTTACCAGTTAGTTTCACACAGCAAAAACATACATATTTTTGCATGTTTTCGTATTGATAGGCAAGGGGTGCACAGCAGGAGAGGCTTTTACTGCATTGTGGGTAAATTGTAATATCATTTACATGAAGATCTTCTGTGCAAATGTGCTTTCTGGGACTTTAAGCCTTTCAATTTGGTTTTATAAGAACCTACTTATTTACTGACTGCTTATGTTGTAAACACTAATTGCAACATGTTTTTAGATCACACGACTATTAAGACTATTTTTTTAGAAAAGCATATAATGTCAAACAAACTGACATTTGTAGAATATCAGCCATTTAACATTAATTGAAAAACGGTTTTGTGCTTTTAGTTGCACCGAGTGAGTCTGCTGCTGTTCTGCATGAATAAGCAATGCAAACCAAGTTCTGCAAAAGCAAAGTTAAAATTGGCACATATATGAAAATGAGTATGCATTTGAAACAGATTGTGTTTGTGTTGGTTCGAGAATTTTTAACTCTTTCTTTTGGTTCTTGAATGCTCAACACAAGACTGTGGACTATGCAGCTGTCAACAACTTTCAAGTGAAGTTGCATTTCCCTGAATGCTCGTTTATTCTCTGACAACTTTGTAATGTGGCTGATCACTGTAAAAACTTTATCAAACTCTGATCAGTTAAATAAAACTGGGCCTCCTTTGAAAATGTTTTGGGAACGCCACTGCAACTAACAGAGAAAAAAAAATGCAAAACCAGCCATAACATGTTGTCTTACACATGAAAAACAACATGTGCATCTTGATAAATGAGAATGGAAAAGTCGATTCTTTCAGTCATGCAATTCAAAAAGTGACACTATATCTCCATCTGTCATTGTTAAGCATTTTTAACACGCCAGTATCAGCCCCGTAAGTAAAACTAGATTGATATCAATAAGTAATTTTTGCCATTTTGTTGCTGTTCCAGCATGTTTTGAGAGCCAGAGTGTTGGGGGAGGCAGGGGTTGATTATTTCCTCATGATTTTGAGACAGTATAAATACAAAACATTCATAAATTTCAGTTATGGATCATAACTGAATATCAAGATTGATATTGGCCCAAATGTATGTATCGGTGCATCTTTAACTGACATGTCATATTTGTCAATAAGAAAAGAGCAAAGTATTGTCAGTATTGTCGTAATTATGGCTTACAGTTAAGAAATACCTCAAATCTAGGTTCTCAGAAAATTATGATATCACATGGAAAAGCATATTTAATACAAAGTGGTTATCCTACTGAAAAAATATATATTGTTTGGGCTCCTGTGGCATAGCTGCACAAATGTGGTGTGGTGATTACCCAGTGACTTTGGGCTGTGTGAGACTATTCTCAAGGCTAAAATCATTCCTTTGACTGCCGTGATTTTCCACTGGACTTTGTCTTTCCACTCAACTTTCTATTATCCTTAATACGGCAGCTGGGAACTCATATATCAGTGACTGTCAACGACTATCTGTTACATGTCGAGTAATCATTCTTTCCCTTTAGTGTAATTCCGAACATTTTTGTATTTATATATATTTTTATTATCTTGCAAAGAATTCTAAGTTTCTGAGAACCCAAATCTGGTTTCAAATGTGAATAATCTCATCACAAAACAAGAAAGTAATAAAACAAACTTATTTATGTTAGCAATTATTTATATTTTTGGCAAAAAAAAAAAAAAAAGTTTTAATCATAGCATTTGCACTTTGAGACAAAAATGCAAATGACAGTGTTTTACTGGTGAAATAGTATAAGGGGGGAAAAATCAGTGCAGGAATCGTGCAGGGAACAGTGCATTTAATTATCTTGCACTGTAAAATGCGCCAGTTAAAACTGTACAGTTGATATCAGTAATGAACTTAACTGGGAGTTGGCTCAGGAGATAAAGTTTTATGTTTTCTATTAGTTACAAGAAGTCTGTAAATCAACTACACCTCTAAAGAAATTTATTTTAACCCATAAAAACAGATTAATGCTCGACTTTTCACATTAGTTTTTAACTTCTGACCTAACTAAAATAATACGCTGCTACTAATGGTTAGTCAAACCCTTTTAAAAATAAATACATTCATTTAGATGTATTTTATTTATTTTTTGGGAGGGGGGGAATAATGTACTCGCTTGAAAATACTAGTTAAATGTTTTCCGGGTCGGTCGGTCGATGTCATATTTGAATGGGTCTATGGTTGGTTGGGCTGAGGGTTAGAGGAAGCTTGTCTGCCCGGTAGTCGGAGCGGAGGAGGCGGATCGACAGCGAGAGCGAGCCGCTGACGGACACCGAAATATCTCCACCAGCGGCACGACGAAACGCACTCGTTTCTCCTACTGAGCCACATTCAGGTGGGTCGAGCGTGTGTACCGACATGTATGTCGGGTATTTCGTGTGAAACAGTCGAGCACAGGACGGTGAACCGCGACTGTGTACAAAGGCTTTCTTCTCCGGAGAAAATGCCGGGGCTGCAGCAGCCGGGAGGCCCGCTTGTGTCTTTCAAGTCGCCGACTCACCTCGCCTATCGCTCCGCTGTTTCACACCATCCTAGTCTTTCTAATTCAACCAAAAAAAACTCCCGCCGCCTTTACTGAAACGCGTTGACGACCTCCGCTCACGACCAGAGGCGACACGGAGGGAGCAGCGTGGGTTTTGACAACCGTGGCCGGTGCGAGGAAACATGGTTGCTCTGCGGAGTCTCCTACGTACGCACGCCGGGCATTGAAGCGGTCCGCGCCGCTAGAGGTTTACGGGGGCAGCCGGTGCTGCTACGGAGCAGCACCGGGATGGGATCGGGAGGCAAAACAGACGCAGCGACATGTTTGGCTAGGCGATCAAAACAGCTGCCTGCCTGACGTCGGCGGGTGTCCTTTTAAAACTTTCTTTGTAATAAAGCAGACAAAGTTGGCACGCTGCGATGTGACGTTTTTAAAACTCGGTAAATGCGCTTCTCGCCAGTTTTCAGCTGGGCGTCTTTGGACACCAGCTGTGGTTTCGTGTCGCTGTTTTCACGCTACGCTGGTTCGGTTTCAGCAGTTTGTGATCATCGCTTGGGGTGGTGTGGTGATGCAGTTCTGCTTGTTGGCTTTGCTCTTCGGACAAGTCACCCGGGTTGTCTGTGCAAACCGAACCGGAAGGGAGGCTTTACCGCCGGGGAGGACAGACTGGAGCTTTCGGCACAGCGGGGGCAGATGTCTGACTGATCCACACACACACACAAAAATGAAAAATACAAAAATGTCGAATGATACTCATTGATTGTATTGTTTCTTTTCTAACATTTATCTGTGGAGTTGCAGCAAGACTAACACGATGACTAATTTCGTGTCTGCTGAAGCATTCTTTGTGTTCTTTTTTATTTATTTTTGTTTCCAACCAATATACTGCTTAAAACCACACTGTCGACTTGTTATTTAGTTTTCTGGTGAAGTCATCCAGCTTTTTTTAGCTTGATATTTCAAATCTGGTCCTTTGGATGGTGAAAGAGAAACAGGCCCACAGGATCACAGAACCTCTACTATACTTATGTGCTTGTGATGTTTTCCTTCATATTCAAACTGTTCAGCCAAAACAATGTGTGTGTTGCTTAAAATGCTGATTGAAATTGAAATTTGTAGAGTTTAGCTAAATGTAACTGTTATTCTTGTGATAGTGGGACAGGAAATGATTTATTCTGACATACAGACCCCCCCAAAAAACTAGTTTGCAAATATATAACATCTAATGATTGTTATGGAGACTTGGCAGCTCCCACAATTTCAGTCTTTGCTGCAGTTCTCTGCCATTGGGTTTTGGAGGCTTTGTTGACCTCCCTCTCCATTTTCTTCATCGCGTGTAATTTTACAATCCGCTTTGGTCTTTGTGCTAAAAGTAACGGGCCACTATCTACATTTACACACAAGCAAAACAGAAAGTTCTGGATTACAAGTTTAGATCTGATATGCGTGATGTTAAAAAAAGATCATCTTGTCGCCTTTTGTGTAATTTTAAGACTGTGTCACGTTGTCGTTTATCTTAAAAGGGACAGTTCAAGATTTTTAGGTGAAGTTCTATTAAAAGCTTATGGGTGGCTTATTTCTTAGCTCTTGTAGTTAATTCACTTTATGTTTAGGAATCTGCATTAGTTGGACCCAGAGACTGAAACGAGCTGCTTGTCTAAGAAGAGGACTCTTGACTCAAAAATTACGTTAAGGTTTATAGGACAGAATAGAATATAACAAAACTGAAGTAAACTTTATTGTTCCTCAGGGGGAATTCAGAAATCTGTAAGTCAGCGCATGCAGATTTACACACTAAAAAACAGAAATAAGAGTGACATACTAAGGGCAAATTTATAGCATGCCAAAATACTGTGCAGAGAATAAAGATGGTGTACTCTGACTCAAAGAAATGTGCAAATGAGTTAAATAAATAAATGATATATACAAAACATGTCTGTAGATCTGTGCATGACAGACTATTTACAAGACATGCAAAAACAAAACATGCAGAAAAAGTATGTTAGATGTGCAAATAACATCAAGAGTGTTATTTGCACATTAGAAAAACAGTGAATGGTTATAATAATAATGCTATTTTATGAACCTGTAAACTGACACCATGTTCACATTAAGTAAACCAATTAGAAATTTTTTAAAAAGAACTTTGCAGGCTGTGCAACACTGATGATGTTCCTGTGCGAAATGTATTCTCATAGTGTAGCTTGTAAATTATTTCTCTGGTCAAATGAAGTAGCTAACTAAAAGTAAAGCAGTATAAAAACAATATTTTATGAAAATTTTACATAGCCCCACTTTTCTGTTAGACAGATGTTTCGACCAGAAAAGCTTTACATGCTCTGTTCTGTGTTTGACACCTGAAGATCGTTGGTGGCGTACCACCTCCAAGCTTAATTTTCTATACAAATATTTGTCGGCTTCTGTGTATATGACCACCCAAGCCAAACACCTTGGCTCCTCTCACACTAACTGTTCTCCAAAATCAACAAATCTGCATTTGTACTTAATTAGTATGCCGAGAGAGTTACTTAATAAACTTTAGACACAACCTCATGGAAAAAAAGACAGGAAAAAAAACAACCATTGCTTTTAAAACATGCTAATCATATGTGTAATCGAAAGAAGAGGTGTTTTTGCACTTAATACACACATTAGATTGTATTAGTGTGCATGCATACCATTATGCTGTGTACCAGGGATCACACACCACAAGTTATTTTGCCAGACGTTGCCCCTAACTTGTCTGACTGGTCTCCAGGTTAAACGAAGCCACTGAAACACAAGTGAGGAGTAACAATAAAAATCAGCCGAGCCTGCAGCCATAGTGCAGCTTTCTACGTTAGCCGCGGCCGGGTGTGTGCTGTCACTTTTTTGTAAGCTGAAGTAAGTTTTTCTTTGCGTGATAAACGATACAGCTCGACTTAATCATCTCCTGTTTCACAGTAAATTTGGTTCTGACGAGTAGAGATCACTATCATTGGCTGGTTAAGTTCGATCATGTTCATCAGTGCATCTTTTTTATACAGTGCTTTCCACAATTAAATAAAGCAAATATTATAAATTATTGAGATGGAGACCTGTTGACCAAGACAGTACTTTTTGCTAAAAAAAAAACTCATATGAGATGGTGGAAATGAGTATTGTTGTGCAAAACGGAGTTAGCCTATCACAGAAGCTTATCTTGCCTAAAATACCAAAGTCAGTGCAAAATATGTTGCTGCAAGCGCAGGCATCCCCAACACTAATGTCAGCATCCACAGACCACGTGTCTATAGAAGTATTTTTTCAAAGAAGTTGATTATGAATGATCAGGATTCCTGAGGTGGATATAGTAGCGCTGTGCATCAATTTGATGTTTTAATAACCTAAATAACACTAACCACAAGAAATGTCTTTACGTTGAACTCGCATGTCTATTTATTCAATAATTTAGCAGCTAAAATGGTCTTTGACATGAGAATGCTTCAGTTTATTTATGGTCAAATTTTTTTTTTTGCCATTTTTTCCTCAATTTATTATTGACACCATTTCTGTTTTTGTCTTCCACCCCCAGACTGGACCATGTAACTGTTGTCAGAGGCTGCTGCCCTATGATGATCGAGGAACTCTCCACACTCCTCTAGAATGTATTTGATGAATGTACCTCCTATCGCAGCGACGGAAACAGAATGGAGACGATGTGGAACACCTGGAGGCTATAGCCTTCCAGTTTGCTTCAATGACTCTGACACAGACTTGTCCACCAGAGGCACACCAATCTCAAATAAGGTCCAGATGATCATAGAGAGCCTCAGGAGTAGCCAGTCCTCACTCGAGATGGGCGATGAGATCGAGGCAAACATGCTATCAGGACAGGAGCGCCATACACAAGTGTGCAAGACTGCAGTGGGTAACTATGTGGGAGCCAAGTTGAAAACAAAAAGGCCCACTGAAAACCCACACGTTTGTTTTTCTTCCACGACAAAACATGATAGCAGTGACTCTGACAGTGACGATTCAGTAGACAGAGGAATTGAGGAGGCAATAATGGAGTACCTGAAAGAAAAGGATGGTCACAAACGTAAGGCTGGTACATCTTCCACTACCCATCAGTCGTCTAAAATTCCGAGAAAAAATCCACCGCCCTTTGAGTTTGCCACGCAAAACTCTGAAGGCAACTCGTCCTTCATATCCAGTAGAAAGTTCCCAGTCAGTATGAAATCAGAGACTCCAGCAGCTGCTATACCTTTAAAAAAGTATATCAAGAACAAGGCTTCGCAGGATGAAAATATTGGGGTGGATAAAAGCTCAGCCAATAGCTTACTCAGTTCCGAAGAACAATGGAGGAGTCCTTCTGAAACAATCAGGTTCTTCAACAGTACTCCAACGTACCCAGTAATGCCAAAGATAGAGGAAGACCTGAGTGATTCCAGTAGTGATGATGGCATCGAGGAAGCCATTCAAAGATACCAGTTAGAGAAAAATGAGCAGAGCAAAAGGGAAGCCTTTAATACACAAACATTCCAAGAAGATTCTGACTCCACCAGCGATGATGGGATTGAAGAAGCTATCCGGAGCTACCAACTTGAGCAACAGAAAGAGAATAGCCCCCAGAAGCAACTTTTCTACAAGCCGAAAGCCCCTATCAAGTTAGCGGTACATGCCACTGGTAGTATAAACTCTGATGACATGAAGAAAAACAAACTCAAGAGAAAAAAAGTTAAACCAGGGAAACCGACTCAAACTCCATTTATTGCCAAACCCAAGACTTCACTGTCATTCAACCCCAAGGTCAAGGGAAATGGACTACCTTCTTTGAAAGTAGAGGCTGAAAAGCAGTCTGCTCCTGCTCCTTCCAAAGTTAACACCACAGCAGAACTGATGTGTGCTGAAGCAATACTGGACATTTCCAAAACCGTAATGCCTGGAGCCTTCCATCAGGGCATTGCCCTCAGCACGTGTGCTCCGGCTCAACCTTCCACAATGTCCTCTCTTCCTGACAAACACCGATACGAAGAAAGCAACGACAGTTCCATTGACAGTGAGGATGGGATTGAGCAAGAAATCAGGAAATTTCTTGAGCAAAAAGCCCAAATGCACAAACAGCCACCCATTGTGGAAGAGCCTCTTGGTGGTGTTGATCCAGAGAAGGAAAAAGGGAAAGATACTGCTATTCAACTGAAATCACAAAGGCTGTCTTTGACGCAGAAAAGAAAACAGAAGGAGAAAAGCATGACTGTGGCGAACATATTGGGAGCTGATGACAAATGTAACGAAACTACTGAGCATGCACGAGAATCTAACGCCTTGACACTTCCGCAGAGAAGTCAGCCCCAACCAAGCACAGCAGTACACCAGGTAGACCAAAGCGGAGACAAAAGCAGTTCACTTGACAGTGACGAGGACCTCGACACTGCGATCAAAGACCTGCTAAAGACAAAAAAGAAATCGAAGAAAAAGATCAAAGAGATGAAAAAGAAACACAGGAAGTGCATCAAAGATGAAGAACCACTGATGGGGAAAGCTTTACCCAACAGAAAGTTCAAACACGAGGCTGGCTCCAAGAGCAGTGCTTTGAAAAAAGTACACGGGGCCGACGATGATGCAAAAGACAAATGTGGATTCAGTAAAAATAATGTCTCGCAACAAAAGCAAATGGATAAATGTAAGGAAGAAGAAGAAGACATTGTGGGAGGGGAAAGACTAGATGCTAAGTCACTGCAAACTGTTGGAACCCTTTATCAAACGGATGATGAGAGCAGCTCAGTAGACAGCGATGACAGCATTGAGCAAGAGATAAGAAGGTTTCTGGCTGAGAAGGCCAAAGTTTCCACAGGAGACACAGATAAAGATGGAGCTTTGTGTATAAACGGATCCCCTGTGGTTCAAGATTCAGAGATTCAATTTCCACTTAAAGACTTCAAATCGGAGACTCAGCTGGCTGAGATTTCTCCAAAACACATCAGCGCATCTCAAGTAGGGACCCAACAGAGGTTCTATACTGAAAGCTCGTCTGCCAGCCCACAGTCATGTGCCTCTTCGGTCCAGTCCTGCAGTCCCAGTCTTCTGGAGCCGGCCGATGGCGCAGGAGCGACAAAAACCCAGCAAAGGAGGCCCAACACTACCAGAGATGGCCTAATCAATGGCAGCCAACAGGCGGAAAGAGGTCGACCAGCTTCAAGTCCCGACTATGCTCGTTCCCTTGCAGAGTCAATTAAGTGGCGCCAGAGCCTGGGGCTTCCAATTCCCGACCCCAGGGCTCTAAGCCGGACCACTTTCCACATCACCTCTTCGGAGAGACGAGACACTTCATCAGAAAATAGGGACCTAAAATCACAGACTCCGGCTGCCGTCTGGTGTTCTTCAAGGAGCAGCAGAGCGCCGTTTTCTGCCTCTACAGAGACAGGTGCAAATGTCACAGCTAGACCCCCTGTTTTGAAATTTTTCTCTGCTGCTAGGCAGCATTCAAAGATGACCTTTACACAGAGCCTTACGCCTGGCAACAGGTCCCAGTTCTCTATGGAAGAAGGGCGGGCGAGTACGGTGCATGTGCCTAAGGACAAGAGTGTGTTTGTAGAGCTGGAAACTAACAGGACCAACCATGTCCAGGTTCAAAGCAGGGAAAGGAGTGAGGGAAAGGAAAAGGCAGACTTGCTGAGAGAGCGAAAAAGAGAAGGAAAGAGCCCGAAGATTGGTGATGAAGGAGCTGATCAAGACAGAAAGGATGAAGAGTTTATAGATGAGTCAGATTGTGAATCAGACAGCAGGAGAGATCCAGATAAGATGCAGGGCTTTCCAGCGTTGTAAGTATTTGCTTTGATCACTATTCCTCAACAGCATCATAGTTCTATATGTTAACTTCCTAATGTCGCCCTGCTAATTGATATATTTCTTAAGCTCCTTCATGTACAGAATCTAAGGGAATACTTGTTAATATATCTTAACAAAACATGCTCTTTTTTTATATAAAATGTGTAACACAGTGGCACCAATACATTTTTGTGCTCTAATATCATTTCATATCTTTAATCCTTTGAAAAGCAATACAGTTGAGTTTTGGTACAACAACAAGAAGAAGTTGCAACACCAAGACAATGTCATAATAACTTAAAAAAAAAAAAAAAAAAAAAAAAAGGAAAAAAATGGGGCTGATGTTTTTTATATTACAACTTGGGAATGCAGGGTAGCAAAATGATTTAAAAAAAAAATATTACATGAAATGAGTATCTTTGGAGCGATCTATCAGTCTTTCATATTGAAGAGTCAAGATTAACCGTGTATTATGTTATTGTTTTCATTCATCATACATGCAGCGGATAAAATGTAATGTTTTGTTTTTTTTTTTTTCTTTGTCAAGTCAAAATAAAACAAAATCTGGGTTGAAAAACAGACCAGTGAGCAAAAATTTATTATTACAGTAAATCATTGTGAGTTGATTTAAAAATAGCCTTTGACTAACTGTTCCAGGAAGAGAATTCACTGTTTTTCCCTACGTTTCTTCAACTGTTTATTTTTTTTTCCCCATCAAAACTTTCCCAGCGCTTGCCTCACAGCAATTTTTTTTTTCCATTTCCACTAGCAAAATAGGATGCCTGTATCATAGGAACATTCGATATACCTAACCCCATAAAATACAATCTTATGAGCCACACGTCTAAAATATAAATTACGTTTTTACTTTAACTTATTTAATTTTACTGAACTTTCTTTTTGTTGCAAATGGAGTTCTAAAATCAGAAGAAAGCACTAAAATATAGTACAGTGTGGTACAACTCAAATCATAAATCCACGGTGACAGATTGTTGAAGTCAAGCAGCTGATATTTAAAAATTTGTTTGCTGAATATGGAAAAAAAATGTGAATTTCTCTCAGTTCGATCCTTTACAGAAAGTTAGAATAGAATAGAAGGAAGGACAAACATCTAGTAAGAGACATTTTTTGTTACAATACGACATGAAACTGAGCTTTTTTTTTTAAACATACTGGTTTAAAAACCAAACTGGTTTTTAAACTGAGTGTAGAAAACTAACTCTAAAAACTATGTGTAGAAACTGCTTTGGTTTAGCATTAGAACTGCTTTGGTGGAGGAAAACAAACAAAACAGAAGTGGGTTTTTCTACACTGAAGGCCTGAACAGATTGACTTTAATTTGAAAATATACAAGATAAATGGGTTATGAAATATTTGTGAGGTTAATAAACCACCTCTTTGTATTTTTATTGTGACTATTTTGTCATTTGCTTGTCTCTGCCACAAGCGATCTTATCATCATCGCCACATAAACTCAAAACTTTAAATACTTTTGCTTCTAAAGATCTGTTCAGGTTTTATTTCTTACAGGTACAAAACACTCTTTGAGTGAAACGAGCTCAATAAAATGTAAAACAAAAGTCTATAACATGATTGAATCGCTTATATAGTGAACAGAAAAGAAAGGATTACTTCGACTGCTGCTAGAATCATGCTACATCTTGGTTACTACAGTTTTGGTAATGTTATCCATAGCCTTTTTTCAGCGGGTCTGGTTTTTGCGACTGGAAATATTTCAAAACGGACACATTTGTCTTTTTTGTAAGCAAGACGAATGTGCAGCGAGCTTCCTTCTGCCAGCTGACCGGCAGTGTGCAGCAGCAGTCACTCTGGCACTCTGAGTAACGGGACATCACAAAATGGAAATGATAAAAAATTTCTTGATACCAGGCATACTTTCAACATGACTAAGGTCTTGAAACAATCAAATGTTGTTGTGTATAACTGTACGTTTAAAGTCATTTACAGCTCTGCTGCTGAGGAACGCCACTAACAGTGTCTGACGTTTGTAACCGCTACGATGAAGATTGTGGTTCCAGATTCCACTGAAACCTCGCCATCGACCCGCTCTGTCTTACTGAATGTGATCTGTCATATGCCCATTTCTTTGTCATATCAAAGATTTTCTTTGTGACAAAAAGCTATTTATTTTTGTTTATTGAAAAAAATGGAATGATTACTGAACATGCTGTGCATTGCCAGACCTTTTTTGTAAATATTTTTTAACTTTTTCTTTTTTTTTTCATTCTTTGAATTAAAAGACAACTTTTGCTGTATCTTTTAAGTGTGAAATAAAGAGTCAAGTCTGAACATAATCAGGTTTTGGTCCAATTAATTCAGATTAATTAGCCATTAAAGATGACATGTTGAAGGAATAAGATGTTTGTGGTTTGAATGACGTTCTGCTCTGCCTCATTCAGGTCTCTGTCCAGAGAAATAGATCCTGGCCTCTCTATAAGTCCATGCATAGCTCTAACATCAGAGGAAAGAAGCAAGGTGTCCAACTGGAAGTTTCTGGTTAGGAAATGCATGAAGGTACAAGTTCTCCAAAGATGCAACTTTTGAGTGATTTGTCGTCAAAATCCGTAGAATAAGAGTTGTGTTTAATCGTGCTTTCAGGAGAATTGGCATCCCACTTGTTCTTCTGAGCATACAGCAACCCTGCAGCATGTCAAACGAAAGCTTCGGTTCGTTCCAGTGAGTTTACCAGCAGCAGTTTCTCCAGTGAAGATCAGAGTCTATGAAAATGCCCCAAAATGTCTTTCCTGTTTTTTCTTTGCAGGAGAAAGGAGGCAGGCGACTTGATTTGACAGGATAACGTTTGGTTTTCCCTGTTGTATGTTGTGTTTGAAGTTAGCAGGTCTTGATTGTTAAACCTATTTTAAGTTTCCATGTGGCTAACGGAGGTTCACTGGCAATCTTATGCATAAGTTCAAGTTTTTCTTTCATGTAGGAAAAAAAGACTGCTTTTTTTCAAGTTTTTAAAGTGAGTTAAGGTTCAGTTAATAGCAAATGGTGTCCTGTTTTGGTTTTGTGCCTGTTAAAGAGTTTTTTGTTCTATGTCTGGTATACCTGTACATGCATTTTATTTAATATTTGTAATATTTAATTTTAGTCACTTCTCTTTAACTTTATCTTGACATTCTTATTTTTGCTATTTGGAACTTTATTTCTTGCTTGTTTTAGTTTTACGTTACTTTTAGTGATCTTTCCAGATGCTAGTCATGGCTCATAATTTTGTTCTTGTTTTTTTGTTTTGTTTGGAAACAGTTTATTTTTATTAATTGATCATTTAAATGTATTTTTATTTAAATGTACTATGTTCAGGACATGCTTGTGATGATTTATTTGTAATTCTTTGTTCTATTGGTAGTTTTAGTGACGTCTCGTCGTTTGTTCCTGACAAAATGTTTGACGTTCAACAAAAGAATAGCGCTGTGGAAGTTGTAGTTTTACGTGGTGTGACGCGACAAAACGTCCCCTTTACGGCACAATAAACGACAATCACGCATGCGCACTTTGTTGACCTTCGTTTGCTGTAAAGCATGGCTTCCCGGGCGCTTACAAAAGGTATGAACGTGAAAACTGTACTTTACTGTGTGTAGAAAGCTTCATATTGGTGTCCAAAGCCTTCTAGTTAGAAACACGTCCATCTTTTTTTGCGCTGTGGTTTCTCCTGTTGTCCGACAGGGCAGAACAGGAAACTGTACAGCTACTTCTGTCGTGTCAGTTTCCAGTCTTTCTCCTGTGGCATTAAATGGCCCTTATTCATGTCCAAGCATTAATCTTTAACCTTCATTTGTGCCTCACGTTCAGGTCTGTTGGGGTTGCGCCATTTTCGGGGTGCCACAGTTAAGTTACCCAGCAGTGGGCATCAGCTTGCCACTGCATCCTCTATTATATCACCTGAACCGCAAACTGACTCCGTCAGAGGTGAGTTTCCATCTGCTAACAGTGTCTTTACATCATTCCTGAGCTGCAGCTAAAGCCCGTTTTAACCATTTCAGATGAAATGCTGGGTCTGCCACTAGAGAAACAAGACCTGTTCCGTCCGTCGGAGCTTTTTACTGTGAAGGACTTGTTCGACGCCAGAGTGCATCTTGGACACAAGAAAGGCTGCAGGCACAGGTTTGTAGGATTTAATGTATGATTTTAATGTTGAATATGAGCCTCACTAGAATATGTTTAATGTTTTGACTTAAACATATTAGGGGTGAAGAAACCAGTTGGAATATCTGTGTTGTATTAATGTTAAAGCAAGTTAATGCAGAAATATGTATTTGAGCTACCAGTCTTTTGGGGGTATTTCTGTACCAAATTTGCACAACATTTAAGTTCTTCAAAATAGCTCAAACTTGGAGCCTAAAATTGTTCCCAATATTTACAGTTGAAATACGTTTTAGGCCATTCTAAATCATTCAATACTCACACAGGGTGTATGTTATCCTCTTAAAAATGATTCTGCTCTTTTTTTTTCTTCCAGGATTTCCCAGTGTTTAGCTCTGTACAACTTCTTAGCAATGCTGACTCTGACACATAGCATTATGCATGAAATTGGCTTGTTGTTAAAGGGTAATGCTTGTTATAATACATTACCAGCTTCCCTACTGTTCCATGATTTGCAGGGTGCATGACTTATAGTCTTAATATCTCACACTTGGACTCTACATTTTTTGCAGCGCGCTCTCATTTCAAGTCTTTTTGCACCATGTCTCATACTCTTTCTATTAAATATGGATTGGTCTGCAATCAGGTCTTCAAAACTTGCATAACTGCTATGAAACTTAACCTTGGTTTAAACACCTCCAAAACTTTCTTACTGACCTGACACCAACACCTTCAAAGGTTCTTACTTGGAAAACAAGATTTGTAGTCATTGTGTCACAAAGAATTTAGTTGAGCCAAGTCTAATGTCCATCATTATGTCCATTTTTATGTTGTTAAAATTTGTAAAATTCCTTATTGGAGAACATATGGAGTAGCAACAGAACATACAGTATGCTTAAGTAAAAGATACAGGCTCTTTTTGTTGTGTTTCATAGCTTAAAAGAAATTTACCTGTGCAAAGCTCCTCCTTAGCAGTGGGATTAAATGGCCCTTTAGTTACCACAGCAACCGTGCAGATCATGAAACTAATCTGTTCATTTGCAATTCTGGTAAAGAAGAAATGCCTGTTTTGAAAGCCAAAGCAATTTTTTAACTTCCCAGAATGATTGTACAAAGCCAGAAAGTGCTGTTTGTACACAACACCTGAGTGGATGTGTACAAAAATAAAAAGGAGCACATGGTTGAAAGATTGCACATATGTTTGTGTAAATAAAAAAAAAAAACCTCTTTAACATGACATTAAAATTAAACAGTACAAAATGAGAGAATGTTTATTTTTTTATTATTTGAAACCAAGTGGAACTTGTTAAAACGTATAGAGCATAGCAAAAAAAAAACAAAACAAAAAAAAAAAACCTTCATCCTTAATTATTTCCATCAGGAATCAGGAAACATGGCTAAGAGTTAGCATTAGCTTTCAAAAAAAATAAAAACAGTTTTTCTCATGATGTTGACATGCGCTCCTTCCTCTAGGCTCATGGAACCTTACCTGTACGACTCCAGCTTGGACTATGACATCATCGACCTGGACAAGACCGCGGAGCACCTCCTGCGGGCCCTGAACGTCACGGCTCACACCGCGTATGCCGGCGGCATCATCCTCTTCATCAGCCGTCGCCGCCAGTTCTGCCACCTGGTGGAGAACACGGCCAAGGCGTGCGGGGAGTACGCGCACACGCGCTACTGGCAGGGGGGCCTCTTCACCAACGCTCACGTCCAGTACGCCCCCGGCGTCCGCCTGCCCGACCTCGTCATCTTCCTGTCCACGCTGAACAACGTGTTCCAGCAGCACGTGGCCATCAAGGACTCCAGCAAGATGAACATTCCCACCATCGGCGTGGTGGACTCCAACTGCAACCCCCGCTTGATCACCTACCCAGTTCCAGGGAACGACGACACTCCGGTTGCCCTGGAGCTGTACTGCCGCTTGTTCAAGACGGCCATCAACAGAGCCAAAGACAAACGGAAACAGATGGAGCTCCTTCGTAGGCTGTCGGAGCCGTCGTCGTCCAGCTCATGATTCATGTTTAACGAGAGATGATGAGGCAGTTTAAGAAAACGAAGAAGAAGAAAAAAAACTGCTCCTCGTACTGTTTTATAACTTCTTTCTTGGAAGGTTGACTTCACAGGACTGTATGTTGCTCATTAAAAAGAAATCTTGTTACTGTTATAGAATTTTTCTCAGAATTATTCAAGTCAAATTCATCACATTTCAGCAAAGCGGTTCAAAGTGCTTTGCATCATGAAAACATCATGCAGTCTTCATGTATGAAACAAGCAATAAACACGACGTTTTATCAAAGTCCATCATCAAGTAATCACACATGAAGTCTGTTGATCAAAGACTGGTGTAAACAGGGTTTTAGCCGTGGTTTAAAGGAACTCAGTGTTTTGGCTGTTTTGCAGTTTTCTGAGCGTTTGTTCCACATTAGAGGAACTGAATCTTCATGTTTGGTTCTGGTTCCGGGGACTCAGAGCGGACCAGAACTTGAAGACCTGAATGGTCAAAACACATCGAGTACCAGTGACAGGTACTCGATGTGTTTTGATGCTGAGCCATTCCTGATGACATCTACGCATTCATGCTGCAGTAAATGTCTTTATCTGTTTTATAATTTCTGATTAATCACATAAACATTTATTTTTATTAAATTATAAAGTACCTAGTGCAAAAATGGCATTGTAATAATGCAAAAAACAGAAGAAAATGAGGGAAAATATAAATCAAAGTTGGTCATGTCCTGCTGGATGAATAGTTTGTGCTAAATTAATAAGAAATTGGAAAATTTGCCTAAATTGGTGTAACATACGCTAGAACAATCACTACAGCTTTAAGCAGATAACATATACCTACAAGTTTTTTAATAAATTTTTTTTAAAAGAGAATTCTTAAGGGGAGTTTATGAACGTTAAGGTCCTGGATTAAGAGGATGGTTATAATCACACTTTTTTGCAGTTTATTAGTGAAAACCGGATGTGTGGCGTCACTGCTCGGCTTTGCACGTCGTCGCAGCTGTTTGGTTGCTTCCGGCTCCCGTAGTTTAAACTCTGCCCTGTAACCAGCAGGGGGGTGAAACGCGGGTGACATGACGTCGCGGTGAGTAAGCGAGGTCAACGTGGTGGTAAAATAAAGTTAACTTTATGGGGTTTCTTCCCACTCGCGCAGACTTTTACGCCTAACACGATAGGCACGTCGCTTCAAAAAAAAAAAAAACGTGGCGTGACTGTAAATACCGACTAGAAACACCGAGAAATATAAGTCCGCGCGATTTACATGTAGTTGTTTACTCTTCCTATATTGGTGTAACTAATGCTAAAGTTGTGCTAAAGTTGCTGCATGCTAAAGTTCGTCCACATACAGCAGTTCTGGTTGAATTGTCTTTATAAATCGGACATTTGTTGCTAAACTCGTAAACAACAGGTTGCTTAATCTGGGATTAAGTGTATTTATTTATTCATTCTTTAATTATTTTCTGACGCTGGTCATGTTTTTATTCTTTATTTAAAGCTGCGTATGTCACTGCTTCACCTGCTAAGTTAGTAACAGAATCGACCAGCTGCTGTTTGCAGCTCCAGGCTGCTGAAAATGTTCCTATTTATAAACCCATGTGAACAGAAATATGACAAGTGAAGTGAAGTGGCCTCTTCGCACCCTGTGGGTTTTAAAATGGAGGAAATTACTTGAAATCCGCCAGTGTATTTGAGTATGTCTGAAATATTTATTTATTTTTATTTTTTTTTTGCAATGATTGGAGAATAACCCGAAACAATCTAAACAATAAGAAATTTTCCAGCATACAGATCAGGAGTTCTTAGGGATAAGGGTGTTAGAAAATGGTTGGACGAAATAGTGGATTTTATTTAATGACGTTCAAAATTAGTTTTATTTTCGAACCCTTTCATGCATAGTGGTCACTACAGTGGACAGCTGTCTAAAAGCCATATAGTTAAGCTTTTTGTGGATTTTTATGTTAGAAATGCACACAGACCACTGAAGTGGACACTAATGCAGCATAAAATACACTATCAGCTACTGGCCCTCAGTTGCAAAAGCAAGAAACAATTTTTTGCTAAATCTAATATGGCCGACCCTATCCCTCCTTCTATATATTGTGACATGATGACAATTATTTCTCTGTCACAAAAACTATATTTGTTCCAATATTGATGTCCATTATTATTTACAGCAGCTATGGCAGATAAATTGATATTTACTGATATTATATGCATTTCCCTACTTTACCTAAACACCCCACAATCCTTTGCAGCATCACTATCACTGTCAAATAAATATTTCAACGAGTCAATGCCATATTACATTCAATATATTATGACTCACTACAATACATCCAAGTTGTTGGTTGTAATCTGAAAACTCAAGCTAATATGAGTATTTTTTTTTCTTTTATTATGTGAGAAAACATCTCATGCTGTGCTGCTGCTTTTCTTGCAGGGAAACGTGCAGCGCAGAAGATGCGTCGCTGTACCCTCACTCATCGGCTTCACGCTGAAGCTGATGTGAAAGGAGCGCACCTCATTGAACGGTAACAGGCTAAAACAAACGGTCACCAATGCCCCTCGAGACGCAGCTCAGCCTGAAGTGGCTCTGCTGCGCATTAGGTGGGCGGAAAGTAAACAGGCTCTCGATAGCTCAACTCCCCGTTGTTCAGTGGGCTTTGAGTATGGAACCGGGCCGAATAATGATCGCAATTTTGATTCTGTTGACCTAACTATTGCACACAAAAAAAGATGCAGCAAAGTTCTGAACTTGCAGTGTTGATTGTTTTGCACTCATGTTTTGTTTGTTATCAAATGGCAGGAGTTGGTCGTTGTGGGTACGGTCCATACCTGTCGGCCGGGACAGGTATGAGCTTGAGGCTCTTGAGTCAACCAGACAATACTTGCGAATGTGGGTTGCTACGTGAAACAGAAACGTACCCAATTTAAATGTTCCCTTTTCACTGTTTCCGCAGATGCTCTACCAAATGGATTCCAGTTCTGACGACAATCATTTGAAGACAGCAGCACAGTGGAGATAAAGAAAACGGTAGATATTAGCTTTTGCGATAGCGGCAAGATGGCTCAAACCGTGTGTGTTAAATCAATATTATTATTATTATTTGGTGTTTAAACTTTTACAATAGGCAGTTAGAGGAGATCTCAAGTATTAGCTGATTTTTGCTATTTTTGGCCCCTAGTCCCTGTGAATAGTGCAAATCCAGTCCACATATTGTTACATATATCTATTATACATACATATATATGTCCTTAATCAATAAAAAGTTCATACATTTTTACTCTTGTCATGTTTTCCTTTTGCATAATCAGTTTATTCAGTGTTTTCAAAGACATCTCATTCAAAAGAGGGGTGGACACAAGCTGCTGTACTTCTTCTGCTGAGCCGATCCTTGGCCTGAGGCGATGCTAAAATCTCAGGAGAAGACGGATGGCAGAATTTGCATTTATTTGGAAAATCGAGGGACACCCATCTGACAGCGAATGTTAGAGCACTCTGCCTCTGCTGACCAGCATGGCACCAGCTCACACTGCTAAAAGCACCAATACTTGTCTTGATTGCTATTGGTTCACTGCCTGATGAATTTCCTCAAAGGGCCTTTTGTGGCAGAGTGTACTGATAAGACTAACAAACTGTGTGAATTATATAGCTTTCACTATTTGATTAGTGCTTCTGAAAATACTTTAATATTCAACATCTTGTCACACTGATGCAATTTGGCGCTATACAAAAAGAAACTGATTTAGTTTGACTTATAAAATAATATTTAAGCACACAGCAGTTATCTTGAAGTTTTATTTATGTGGGCCTCAAGACTTTAGAGGGCCGCATAAAGAGCCATGGCGGGCCAGATTTGGCCCCCGGGCCTTGAGTTTGATAGTGCCATGCATAATCTGCACAGCAACGTCCATAGAAAGAGAAGAGACCCCCCCAGTGTCCACACTGGAGACGAACTGAAGGACCACCGTAAACCTGGCTCTGTCTGCAGCACTGCATTGATGCCTTAAAAAGCTTTTACTGTACAGAGCATAAATATATTCAATATGACTACATTTCTGTTTTAAAAATAACTTTTTATTGATGTTTTGTAATGTTCTTTTTTTTCTGAAAAACCATAATGATCAAAAATGATCAACATCACTCAATGTAATGATTTTTTTTTCTTTTAAAGGTCTTTGAGATTTTTACTTAATTCAATTTAATTGTGTAGCTGGACAATTTTTTAATATGTACTTGTATGTAAGGGTGATAATATTTTTTTCTTCTAAAAACAAACAAGCAAAAAAAAAAACGCTTAAAATACAAATAAATGGATCTTTCTCCATTATATATCGGCGGAAATAAAAGCACCTCTGGCGCCTGTCCCTTTAAAAGAGCAGAGCTGAGTAGAGAGCGTCGCGCGACACACCGCCTGCATCATTGTTGCTATTTTCTGATGGGTTAAGGAAGAGCTTTAGCTTATAAGGATTTTTTTTTGGGAGGGTGGGGGAGGGATTTTTCTTCTCTCTTTGTGATTTAATTTATATACATGTTCAAAAAAAGGCCCTTATGGAGGCCGAAGTTCCTCTATTTCAAGGACGCGCTCCGGATATTCCTGCCTTTTCTCTCGGAGCGAGAGATCAATGCTAAAACCCCCGATTCAGCAGCAGGCATATATTTACATGTAAGGGCGGCATAAAGTGCGTCATAATTGAGAGAGCGACCGCATGGCGCGCAGGCTGCTGTGAGGATGTGATCTGACGGGGGATCTCCGCTTTCTCGCTCCGCTGCCTCCTCCTCCTCACTGCCGCTCAGGATGCCCAGGGCTCTGCGGCGACTGGTCCATCTGATGCTGTTCTGCCCTCTGTCCAAAGGCCTGCAGGTAGGTACCTGCAAAAACAAACAAAACAAAAACCTCGATGAGCATTGTTTAGATAATCTGCGTGGATGTACATCCAAAATGTCGCAAATTAATCCCCCACCCTCTCCTCACCCTACCCAACCCAAAAAGATGCAAATGCAGGCAAGAGTGAAGAGAGTGCTCGCCTTTGGGCCCCAGCTGAGGAAATGAAGGGGAATAGGAAGCAGACAATTTTTGGGCCCATATAGACATTGTTGTGCTGAACATGTTCATTTGAACAGCTCAGCTATAAAGGAAGAATGGTGAAATTGTGAGTCGTCGTTGCTGCACTAGTTTCAGCGTGGTGCGTTAGGAGGTCCTTGAGCCGCCTGCACCGATTTGGCCAGAAATGATGAAGTGGCATTTCAGCTCTTTGTGATCCAGTCCTTCTCAGAAGATGCTTTTTAAGGCCCCACTCGGGCGGGCGACGAATATGCAACTCTGGGGTCACGAGGTCACAGACACCAGAAATGGAAATGAAAGAAATAGCAACACTGGCCGTGCACTGAAAAATAAAAGTTAATTTGCTAGACATGGTCGAATTAAGTTTATCCGAGTGTTAAGTTTATTGTCATGTTTACAAAAACAACGTAAACACAGTAAGTTTGACAATCTCGATTACATGGAACTTTTTCCTTTGTTAGGTTGGAGCTCCCTTCTCCTTTACAGCGCAATGTTGGCTGCTGATGTTGATTTTGTTGTCATTCTACCACTTTCATCTATCAACTTAGAGACACCGGCGAAAACGTCCAATTTAGCCTGAACTATATGTTGGCTGCCTTGCAACATTTTGTGAAAAAGTCACAAGGTCATGAATGCTGCTATAAAAATCTATTACAACATGGTACAAGCATTGCCTTTCAATACATTTTACTTCCCATGAGCCTTTGCAATGAGTTTCCAATTAAGCGGACACTTTTTTGTCCCCTCCTGCGCTCCACAGAATCGTCTCCCGGCCATCAAGGTGAAGTACCTTCTCCTGGCCTGGCTGGGCATCCTCATCGTCAGCTGGATCGTCTACATGCAGTATGCCTCGTACGCTGAGCTGTGCCGGGGCCAAGTGTGTCAAATGGTCATCGTGAGTAAACGCATACTCATATGTACTCACAATAAAAGACAAAGAAGAAGAAAAAATCAATGCATTTTATTTTGCTTTTGCATGTGAAATTTCATTCATGATACCACTTAGCTGCATTGAATACTCTTAGTCACACTCGCATTTATTAAGAATGAACCGATCTTTTGTTGAGCTAACAAAGTGAACGCTTAGCAGCACGTTGACAACGTGCATGTGATTTTTGAGGCTGTTGGGAACAAATTAGCAAACTAGCTGACTTTGCCGAAATGTTGCAGAGTAGTTTGAAAGGGTGCAAACATTTGAAAACAGGTCAAGATGCAAGATTCTGTGTTCCAATAGAGAGAATATAAATATCCGAACCAACATCTTCAGTTAAATCGTGACTGGAACCTGTTTGACAACACGAAGTAGGCTGGAAGGGTCTTAAAAAGTAAGACGGAATTAAAAAGGGAAATTGTTTCCAATTTTTCTTCTAATTAGGTGACAAATTTACGCTTAACATAAAAAAAAAAGAAATACATCAACTAAAACATAAAACATTTCAATTTTTTTTTCACCAGCGTACTTCTAAATGTTTGCCTTTGTCTGAACTTTAAATGTGTGGCGCTGCTGCAGGGAGAAATAACATCGACGGTTCAGAAAACAACAGAATCGCTTCCTTTCGGTGTGACTCATGTTTTGTTCAGGCTCAACAAACTTCGCTTGCCTTTGATTCTAACTCCATCGGGTTGAGTGTGCAGTTTCTGATGTGTGACGTGACCTCCGCCCTCAGCACCGGCTGGCGGAAATTCCAGCACATGTGCAGTAATATTATAATCAGACAAGGGACTTAATAAAATGTCACACAAAACAGTGACATGTGTCTTATTCACTGAAAGTTTTTTCACCTGACCGCTGGGAAATTTAAACTTTTCCATTGGGTCATCATTATTCATTTAATATTTTATGACATGTGTGTGTCATTGTACTCTTGTAGTTGGACTTGAACGGTTTCTCACCCTGGTCAAGGTCACAGGGATCCTCGCTTTCATTTTGCTAATCGATGTAAGGTTTGCGCACATATTTAAAGCAATTTCAAACTGATATGGATCAGTGACGAGAGGGAAGAAACGCAACATGAGAAAGGCTTTAAGAGGAAGTGACACCACTGAAAAGAGGACACGGCACAATGTCATGTAGTTGCTGTTAAACAATATCTGCACAGGTTCAGCTTTTGCTTAGTATACCTTGTTGACTATGTAAATACAGAGATCTTAAAATAGCTAATGTTTCTTAGCTCACTTCGGATTGCTTCCTGTTTCCTGTGGCCTGACGTTGGGCATTTCTTTGCTTGTTTTTGCAGTGTGATCACTACAGAAGGGGCATCATTTCAGGCTCTTCGTGTAAGGCCTTGTGTGATCAGAAAACTCTGACGCTGCACCGCTGTATGTCCACCTCCTCCACCCATCAGGTAAAACACAAACAGACTGGGTTTTTTATTTTATTTTGAATGCCTTTTTGTATATGTTGAAATTTATGTTTGTGTATGTCTGTAAAATAATAGTTATAAGCAGCTAAGAAATACGTAAACTTACAGTTTTATGCGGTTTTGGTTGAATCCGGTCAGGGTACATTACTCAATCGTCGGCTGCCATTTCAAACCATTCTAACTGACTCTAGTTTTGATTTTACTTTTTCAGGTCTATGTTGGACTTTGGAAAGACAGGCCGGTGGTAGTCAAATGTGGCATCGAGGATCCAGTGAACATAGATGGAATCCCAGAGACTTTGCCGAGACCGGAAATGAGCTTATTCGATAAGCCGACTCGTGGAACCTCGATGGACGAATTCAGAGAGATGCTGCACAGTTTCCTTAAGGTACCATTTATGTCAAACTACTTCATTGAAAATAGAAATCATTCTAATGATGCACAGAAGAAAAGGAGCTCCTGATGTGCTCTTTTTCTTACTTAAAATACTAGAGTGTCTAATTTCTTTTCTTAAGGCTAATCTTGGGGAACAACCATCTTTGAGCGCCTTGGTGGACAAAGTCATCACTCTCGCTGACGTCAACCAGGATGGCAAAGTGTCTCTCGCCGAGGCCAAGTCCATCTGGGCTTTGCTTCACATCAACGAGTTCCTCCTAATGGTGGCGCTGCAGGAGAAGGAACACACCCCGAAGCTTCTGGGCTTTTGTGGAGACTTGTACGTGACAGAGCGGGTGAGCCACAGCTCCCTCTACAGGCTGGATGTCCCTCACTACTTGGAGGCGGTCGTCCCGGAAGCCCTCAGCTCTGCCCTCAACCACTGGCTGGCGCCATCCTGGCCCCGCAGGGCCCGCATCA